GCGGAACAAGAACGGCACGCGTGGAAGGGTGCAGGAAAGGGTGAATTAAATAGTAAGAGCGAAAGGGAGGATTTTGTAAACAACGGCGAGAGGGTTATGGGGCATCGCCTGCGAAGGATGAGAAAGAACGAAATACACCGTGAGTACGAAAAATGGGGGGGAGTGTAGTGGGTGATAGGGGTGAATGAGAGTGAAACAGGGGAAGGGGGTGCGAAGCAGGTGAAAAAGGCACGTTCTGTCAATTTGTCAATATTGTCATGATTCGATATATATGGTCGATTGGTATGCCTACGATTAAACCTCCATTTACCATGGTGAATGTATGGAAACAAAATATTCTTAATACGATTCAGTACGATTCTTATAATTATTATCGTTATTATTAATTAATTAATTAATTAATTGATTATCATTATCGATTTTTCATTAACAGTGCGAGAAAGTAGGAATATACCAGACGAACACAAAACAGAAATAAAAGCCGGATGTTTCAAAGCAAATGAAAATGGCAAAAAAATTAAATGAATAAGAAAGGCAACCACTTATATATTACTGTACATATTTACTTGTAACTGCTATTCGTATTGCAGAGGTTTTGTTCTCTCAACAAATGATTTTCCTCCATTCTGCGGGAAGAAAAAAAAAAATGAATAAAATAAAATTTGTGTATTATTAAACGATGTCGCTCGTTCATTGTCCCCTCGCGATTGTTTCCGGATACGTTTGAAATGCGAACGGAAGAATAAATCTGACGACTTTTGTTTCGGAGTTCCTCTCGTTTGTATCCCCGTTCCCATTTTTTTCGTGAACCAGACGACGATACAACGTCGAATCAGGATCATTTGGAGGTAAAGCGAATCCTTGGATCGTTACGTAACGCACATATATTTATACGCCAGAAAGATAAGTTATCGTTCGCGTGCACGTCGATTTCATTTTATGCGTTCCCTTCTTCCGCGGTAAAGGATAAACGCGATACGCGGCGTCCCGTCGCCATCTTGTGGATTTATGGCCGTATCAGAGTATTGATTCAAACGGTATCAATTACACGATCTCGTATAAATTTATCATCATTTGTTTCCGTATCTTCCATTTACAGTGATGCGAATTCTCTGCTGGATTCTTCCAATTAGAATAAAGGACCGTTATCTTAAACGTTATTTGTTGTATATGATTTAAATGTTTAATAGTATACTTCGATGTTAAATTGAATACAGTTTTTCTTCTACATTTAGAATGTTTAATTTCAGATGTAAGATTAATTCAGTGGACATACACTTTCGGTGTAAATTTATATTATATAGCATCGAAATCACCGAGATTTTAACCCCACTTTCTTATTCCTTTCATTCCTAAATTATGTAACAATTAGAAAAAAAAAGTATGTTCTTGAATGAAACGATCTTTAATTTTTTTCAGAACACGCATAGTTTTTGATACGTATCAATAAACTGTAGATTGTCAGTTATATTATTTATCGCAAGTCAAGAAATTTCTATTCCGGAGGAAAGCACGGTGTGTCTTCTTTCGGAACTGTTTTGTTCTCGTTCGAATAAAGGGCGGAAAACTTCCACGTCTGTCTTTCCGAAGTCAACAACTGAGCACAGTCAAAGCCAAGTTTCACGCTCAAATTCCCGTCCAAAAACTGTGCACGACGGAACAGAGAAAATGGGGGAGGAAGGGTCGCGATATCAAAGCTGGAAACGGTGAATGCAAGCGATCCGAAACAAAAACGGGACTTCATCCGCGACTTCAATCGCAAGAAAAACCATCCGCATCGAACCATTGTTTCGGTAAGCAAAAATATTCTTCGTATCCGAGTTCTCTTGTACGTAGCCAAGAGAATGTCGACGAAACGGAGCACGATAAAAATCTGGGAATCGAGCGGTTGGAGATGAAACAACAGCGAGAGATACGTACAAAGGTTATAGGTAGTTGTAGATGTCACGTCGTTCTACTTACCTTACACAGACAGTAGATTCAAAATGGCGTAACCGCGGTGAAGTACGCGTTGCTACGCACCCTACTAATTACGAACGACTGGCACAATCGGTTCTCACGTGACCCAGTTCCGTCGAACTGCCATCGTGCTTGCAGTATTTTGTTAAAATCGATGCAACCTACAATATTTCGCGTGTTCGGAATTGTGCAGGACTAGGGGAATGTCAGTATTACAGTATCCTGAATCACTTTAAGGGGACTTTCCCATTCAAAATTGAAAAGAAAGACACTTTTTTAATATTTCTTTATGAAAAAACTATTATATTTAGAAACATAATTCCTTTTGGACGCTATTATATATATTATTAAGAACATAAAGAAATTTTTTCTAGCACTTTTAATTCACCACGACCGCTGTAGAGGGCGTCTTCCAAAAAGCCACGTTTTAATCGGTGCGACACTTTGCAGACGTCCTGTAAAAAATTAAGTAAAAATTCAAACGGGATTCTATTCGTGAGACTTAAAACTAGACAATATATCTCTAAAAGTTCATAAAACCACCCCCCCTTTTTTAAACAGAGGTGAATTGCCCCCAAAAAAGAGTGATTTTTCGAAAAAATACGTATAAAACGATAAAAAATACAAAAAATAAAATATTTTAAAGGTTTATTGTCTAGTTTTAAGTTGACACTTTGCAGACGTCCTGTAAAAAATTAAGTAAAAATTCAAACGGGATTTTATTCGTGAGACTTAAAACTAGACAATAAACCTCTAAAAGTTTATGAAACTATTTTTTTTTATAAAGAAATATTAAGAAAGTGTGTTTTTTTTCAATTTTGAATGGGAAAGTCCCCTTAAGGCCATGTTGAAATTTTCAAAGTTAAGTATAGATAGAAGTTGTACTACCGGTGAACCAAGGTTTCAGAAAATGTTCCAAATCTTTCCGGTTATTCGACGAATTGATTAGTTGACAAATTTTAGAGAAATATTAAGGGAGTCGGAAGTGAAATAGGTTTAAAAGGGGTGCAACTACATAGCCTGGTAACCAACTAAAATTTACTAAATCCCGTCGACTTTCTCAGGCTACTCTGAATCCTCTTAACTCTGAGTACTTAACCAAATTTTCAAACCGCGTCAAATTTAGTTCCGTTCGTTTAAGCAGCTTGCCGAAATATTCCAACTGCTATCGACTCTCCACATCGTACGATCATTTTGTGGATGAGATTTCCTGTTATCTAACATGAATTCATTAAAAAAAATATATTTAATGTTTTTTGACGCAAATGAAAATTACTAGAGGCCGAATACGTTGAATGTTACTTGCCACTGCATTTGAAAAACAATGAGAACATCGATTGTATGAAATATTAAATGTCAAATGCGTAATTACGCCAACTTTAACTTCTTGTGTGTACGCAAACAATTATAATTATAGCGTAGCAACTCTAGAATGGGAGAACACGCAAACAGGTACGCAACAAACTTTCAAACTCTAAAGTTTTACGACCCCATTCCTCATAAAAATTAAATGAAAAGCGAACAAGAACTTCTCCTTAATTTTATTTATTTTGCACAATTTATATCGCTTGTCGATAGTATTTAAAAGTTTTTCAACGCCAGAGACTCTAGAGACAACGAGGGCTCGTAAAAGTTGAATAGGAGTGGAGAAGTGCCGGGATGAATGAATAAAAAATTCTGAAAAATATACAATTTACAATGGTATTTGTATAAATTTAACAAGAATTGCCTTAAATACTACTTATATATATGTATGTATATTATGTATATTTCTGTTAACTTCTCTATCTCCTCCGATTCCCACCAACCCCACAGCCCAGCCATATAAGCTACTTCCTTTCACCTATTCCTCACATTCCCGTCTCTCTTAGTTACATGCGCGCCTTCTAAGTCCTCTGTAACATGTAGTTACGAAATAAATGCAATATTCGCAGCCATTAACTTGATATTGTCTTCGGTTTACAATACTTTACCGATGATAATACCGATTGCCCGGGCGTCACCACGAAGAGGATGCTGACAGTGGAAGCCCAAGGCAAGTAAATGGAATCACAAGTCCTGCATCTATCTACCCTTCACAAGAAACCTTATAAATGACTTAAATCTTAATTAGTGAATCTAAAAACTAAGTTCCCTCGTCGGACGTAATAAAAACGTAAATAAATCACAGTACATAAGAAAAATATCGAAGCCAATGGCTGTCAAACATCTGTAACATACAAGGGGTTAGTAACAAGAGAGGGGAGGGGTGCGTGAAACACATCCAACCACCTCGACAGCTCACGAGAGACTGCAAATTTTCGACTGCTACGCGATTCCTTTTAGAATCTAGCTAGAGAGTGGGGATGTGGTATTGCGGAAGGTGGTCGACCTTTGCAGGTATCAGGTGTACCTAACTATATAGTTATATAACATATACACGCATCACTTTGTTTTCTCACAGACAGAAGTGAAATGTTTTTGCCGGCAAAGACTTCCTGGAAGAGTCTATATACCTGGTACGATCATAGGAGAGGATGAGGGTCCTATAAACTTGATGTGGAAAACGTAGAAATTTTCAAACACATCGGGCAAGACTCATATGTAAATGTATTTTACAATTTCAACCATAGAGGGGTGCGGATATTTCCATAAATGACTTTGTAACACAAATTACTTTGAATATTTCGTAAAGATATGGTTATTTTTACGAAAAATTAGTTAGTAAGTTAGTTATGTTTACAAACACACTATTCTTTCGTTCAAAAAACTCACGAAAGTGTATTCTTTTAACGTAATTAGTTCCAATGATTTTCTATTTCATTGTTCACTTTTATTAGCTATAAAACGCGCATGAAATTTTTGCGCATCTAAAAGAGATACATGACTTCAAAAAACCTTTTCAAAGCACACCAACGGAAATCCAATGCGTGTCAAACAAACAATTGACAGTCGCTGATAGAATTGTTAAAATGACTAAGTTAGTAATGATGGTTTACATAAGCGATAAAAATAAACGATGCAGGAAACTGGTAAGATTTTAAGCGTCATTGACGGTTATGATGCTGAGGACGATTTCTCGACTGACTACCGCGGTATCACCATTACAACTATGGCTGAAACGTCAGCCAGTGTGCAGCTCGTACCGTGTGGTTGGTTCTTTCGGTGGCCCGTGTAACGATTTATCTCGCGTTATTTCGCGTCGCGCTAAGTTCTCCGTGTTTCGGCTGCGAAACTCTTCGAGAAGAAAAAGTAGTCGGTCGAAAAGAACTGGTGTCAGCACATGCAGCGAAGCAGACGAAGACGAAATGGCACCAACGCGTGTTATTTTTATGTCGTGTGGTAGTTATAACCCTCCGACCAATATGCACCTGAGAATGTTTGGTACATATATGTCATTATAATCGATATCCAATCTTTACTTAAACAGAAAACCTTTTCACTTACAAGTAATGTGTAATTGGAATTTCATCGTAGTCCTTGTTGCTAATCGTCTAAACAAAACGTCATTTAGATAACACTGTAAACAACCGCAATTGATTGTATTGTTTAGAATTAGTTAAAAACGATACAGATTTTTGTCTTTTAAAAATGCGAGGTAATCGTTATAGTTTGTATTTTAAATCACGAACCTAATTTGATTTAATACGAGTTTACCTTGAGACGCAGGATAGTTAGGTTATGTTCGTATGAAATATTTACAGAAATCGCTCGAGATCATCTCCATCGAATGGGAACGCATATTGTAGTTGGTGGTGTTATATCTCCTGTGCACGATGCTTATGCTAAAAAGGAACTGGCAAGCGCGACTCATAGATGTGCTATGTTGAGGTTGGCATTACAAAACAGTGATTGGATTCGATTAAGCAGTTGGGAGACTAGGCAGAATGGATGGACAAAGACTAGATTAAGTTTGCAGCATCACCAGAATTTATTGAACTCTGTTTTATTTGACCCGAATAATTTAAACCATATATCAAGCGAGGATTTGGAGTGGATACCAGAGAATGTAAAGAATAGCTCTGACTGTACTCCAATTCAAATTAAATTGTTGTGTGGTGCTGATTTGTTGGAAAGTTTTGGAACCTATGATCTTTGGGCTGAAGAAGATGTAAGTTTTTGCAATCGTATTGTCTTCCTATACTTTTTATCAATGTATATAACTTCTTATTTCTTTGTTCACAGATTGATGCAATTGTTGGTGAACATGGACTTGTAGTTATTACCAGGGAAGGTTCTAATCCCAACAAGTTTATCTATGACTCGGATATCCTTTCCAGGCACATGGTACATAATTATTGCTCAGTTTTCCTAGCATAAACTCTGCATAGTCTTAATTTGTTATCAATTTTCTGTGCAGCACAATATATACATAGTAACAGAATGGATTCCAAACGAAGTTAGCTCAAGTAGAATACGGAGGGCACTAAAGCGGAGCGAGAGTGTCAGGTATCTTCTACAAGATGCTGTGATCGATTATGTCTATAAACACGGGATTTACGATGCGAAGACATCGGCATCAACAATGTGAGTCTGACATAGTTTAACTGAAATCGTAGTTCAAGTAACTAGTGACAATTTAATAGTACATCTTCCACTAGATTTACACAAGAATTTATTTTTACATATTTTGTATGGGAAGCGTATATGTATATTTTTATAGCACTCATATTCCACGTAGTTGGTGAGTTTAGAGTATGTAAAGCTGTTACGCAAAGTGATATAAGTTGTACATTTTGTGACCAAAGATTAACCCTTTTAGTACTCAATAATATTGATATATCAATACAAAGAACACTTTCTAATTGATATATCGGTTGTTAAAAATTGTACAGTTTGGGTGCGTGAAGTATTATAGTGAAAAAAAAACATAATTGAGAAATGTATGTACTTATACAGTTATGTAAACTATCGAATTTTTTAAAAATAGAATAAAATAGTAAAACAGTATATTTTTTTAGTAATTATACATTCCAAATAATATTTCTATATCAAATAAAGGTATTATTAATTAAATAAATAATTTTATTGTTCATGATATTTTAGTACTTACAGTCGCCGTTGTAATACTTTTAAAAATATTAGGGTTACAGTATAAATTGTTAAAGTTTTAACAAACGACTGGGTGCTATCTGTAACGTAAACGAGTTTATTGGATGTTAAAAGGGTTTAAATATCCTGTAGAAATACCACAAAGTAATAGATAATAGTCTAGTCTAAGAGTCTTCCATTTTATGTGTATCAAATCTCAAGAATCATCTTTCTGCCTTTGTAATTATGAATAAATTTTAGCAACTGCATTATTTTATATTTCTTACACTGCATTAAGCTTCTCAACTATTTCTGAGAGAGTATTCCCGCTTGAAACATAATTTTTTCAACAATATTTCGGTTAAAAGAACGCACAATCTACAAAAAAAAAAAGCGTTTAAAATTTATAACGTGTATATTTTCAACGCTTCTATCGATTCTTCAAACTGGTAATACCCTCTCGATCTATTATCGCAATAACGATACCGATTCACGGATGAAGGTACAATTTTTCCATCCCACTAAACTCAACAGAGAATACAACGTTCAAACATTCGTTGAACCTGAAAAACAAAGAACACCGCCAATTCGTCATTTCAGTATCAAATCCAAAGAAACTTTCTCAAAGACGAAAGATTCAGTACCCAAATCCCTTTGTGCTTGAATCGGATTTACAGTGCACCAGACACCTAATCAAATACCATATAAACCAATAGTGTCTTATTTTTCACGCTGCCAATCTCCTTGGACACCGAAGTAAGTTGGAACTGACCTCGCCGAACGCGAATAATTACCTGACCATTGACTCCAAGTACCAAAGCACATTTCTCACGCCGTCGCCTAGCGACGTAACCATGGAATCCCCGAGCCCGATCGAAATAATATCAATCGACGTGCCGGACACGGTGCTCCGTAAGAATATCCAGAACGCGAGCAGCGCGCTCGCCAGGCACGGGGGCCTCGAGGAGGCCCGCGAGAAGTTCATAAACGCTCTAGTCGCGGAGAACGGTAACGGCAAGCATTTAACCACCGCGAAGGCCGCGTACCCAGGTCTCGCGAAACAGATCATCGCCACCGAAACCGGCGAGTCGCAGATCCTCGACGAGGTAGGTTTCGTTGACGATGATAGAATGGTCAGGAAGAAGGTCGTTAGGGTGCAGCCACGGTCGTGTCAGGTAGAGCAATCATCTCCGAGCGTCGCCACCTCGTCTAAAACCGAGGAGACCGCGAAAACTATCCCCAAATGTTATGTCGAGCCTGGTGTAGATATCTTCGACGAAATCAAATGTCAAACGGTACCCGAGGACGACACGGTGGTATCAACTGTGGACAACGATCTCGATCGTAAATCGTCCATGTTGTCCTCGGGCGTTCCTGTATCGGTAGACGACAGCGGCCGTCACGAGTGCGCTCTGTCGGACTTCAGCGTAGACAAAGAAGATTACAGACTGACGCGATACGGGTTAGATACTGCGCTGGATGACGAGATCCAGGAACAGAATGACGATCCTCGGTTAGAAGAAAGATCTGGCTCGAATAATACTCCGAAGTTGGAACAGGCTGATCGGATGGAGAGTAACGAATTTGGGGATAATTTTCCGAACGATAGCGTGAGATGTTCCAATACCCAGGTCCTGGTCCTAGTTAGCGCCATGATCCATAATCCTTTCGAGAAAGAGACCGCGACATTGATCTTGGAAGAGAGCGGGGTTCAAGGGAAAGGAGAGATTACGATATACAAGGGTGAGTCTGACGGGAGTATCGATAAGCTTTTGCTGGTACAATCACCTGTGCCATCGTCGGTGAGCGACGAGAGTACGGTTAAGATCCAAGAGATAGTCGATGATCCACCGGAGACCGTGAAATCCGTATCGGGCAGCTCGTTGGTAATGGACGAAATGTCCAACAAGCGGGACGTGAACCTTGAGATTGATGGTAAGTATTTGAAGTCCGTAGTGAACTCCCGCAAAAGTCCCCGGAAGACCAAGAACGGTCAGATGCTGCGAGTTCACAGCGAGACAGAGGAGAGCAAAGTTAAAGATGATAGTAAAACCGAAAAGAAAAGCACCGATTCGTATACGCAATCCGAGGAAACTTTCTATAAAACGTTGTCAAAGTCTTCTTCGAAGGTTTCATCGTCGAGAACAAAGAGTCCCAGGAAGGATGGGAAGTCCTCTCGATCACAGAAATCAAGCAGCGTTTCGAAAGCCCACGAGTCCACGATCAGCGACGACAGATTGAGCAAGGATCGATCGATGAGCCAATATTACACGCCGATGAAAGGAAGCCTGGACTCTGTGATCGCCAGCAGTGATTCCAGAACAATGTCCAGGCGACGATCCAGGGCTGAGGAGTCGTTCACGAAGAAATCCAAGAGCTGCGAGTCGATCAAAAAGATCCAGGAGGTCTGCTACGAAGACTCGTCCAAGGCTGACAGCACGTCCCAATTGATCACTGCGAACGATCTGGACATGCAAACGGACGAATTCTGTTCGGTTTGCTGTTACGCGAACGAAATGTCCATGGGCACGGAAGAATGTGTCGTCAGTCCGAGTCAGGAGAATTTCTATACTCTGCGTTCCAATTGCAGTTCCATCGGGGACGAGGACTCGACCGAGTGCGACATCTGTAGTTCCTGGAACCTACAAGAATCGACCGACGGTTTGGACCGAAGGATCCCAGGGAACAATTACGATCAGCTCTGCGAGGTCTGCGAGATCTGCGGCGAGACCACTTTCGACTCTGACCAGGAAATCTTCACCGGGAGAGATCCCAGAGATCACAGTCGAATACTCGAGTCTTCCACGAGAAGTCTTCCGAAGAATAATCCCAGAATCACTGATATCACGGTTGCCGATCCGCATGTGGACGAGGATAGCTTCGAAATCGAGAACTGTGGCCTCCCAAGTGGACCTAATTCGACGAAGACACTGGATCGAGGCGGTGAGAAACATTTGTCGTCTTTCAGTTTATCAGATACAGCTGGGATCAAGAACGCAAGGGACAACTACTTCATCCCCAAGGACGAGATCGAGATTCTGTCCAGTGGATCCAGACGAATCGGCCGCAAGGCCTCTCTGATCAGGAAGAAGTCCACTGATCCAGGGAACGCTGCCCAAGACAAAAGGCGTTATTCGTCGGTGGACAATCTTCAGCTGGCCAAAGTCTCCTCAAGAAACAACGACAAGGTTCTCAGGCCCAAGAACAGTAAGCTGATCGGTTCCGCGGATAACATACGGGCGCAGAAAAGCTCCAGAAGATGCAAATCGTTGCAGAGGTCCGCGGACAATATTAGATACGTGGACTCGTCGATGGACAATCTGGACTCACTGGTCGAAGGGCTGGATAGAGAGGACGACATCCAGGAGACCGTCGATTGGACCGTGAAACCGAGGATCAGGGACAACGAAACGGTGAAGATGATACTGACGAAACACGGTATTAAGATAATCAGCGAGAAGGAGACCGCTCTGTAATCGAGGAACGGGACCTAACAATCAACGAATATAATAAGGGGGAATGTCGTTTTATCGGGAGGAAAAACCGCTCACGTTAGTTCGAACAGAGTATCAAATATATGTGACACAAATTGTAGCTGGAAATCTCGTTTAGGTCACCCGCAAAACTTTACGCCTCTTGTGATCGACCGGTACCTATTCGCCTTCAAGAGATAACAAGATTTTTCACATACGATTAGACTCGCTAATTGATACCTATAAATATATAAATTTATCGGTGCGTTCGGCTCGAGGAACTGGTTATTCCCAAGCCATGTGAAAGCTAAGATGTTACGATTAATCCTGCTCATAGATTCTATTTAATTAAACCGCGAGCGGTCGCGACCTGGGACTTATCTTGCATCACGTTCTTGAATGGTTTATTCGCATGTCCTGACTGAATTATACCCAACTCTGACCTTCCCTTGCATCCAATGCAGTAATGGAGTGCACGTGTACTTGGTCGATTTCACTCACTCTTATAGGAAATTCTGCACTTTCAACCAATTCGTCTGTTGTGTACCCACGAGCAAACTCGGCTTTCACTAGGGGAAAAAGTAGTGTTGGGAAAGTGCCTCCTACCATGCTTGTACAACTTGGTATTTGGAATTACTGAAATTTATGCCAAATTAACATTCGATTTAACATTTATTTCAGAACCTGGAATAAATTTACTAAATGGTAGGAGACTTTTATTGTACGCCACTTTTTCTCCTAGTGGAAGCCGAATTTTTATGTTAGTGTACCATCGCAACTAGTGATGGGCATCATCGACTAAGTCGATAGTAACCAACGACTACTTTCAGTCGACTAATTTTTTCAATCGTCGACTACTTTAGTCGCTTGAAGCGACTAACTTCAGGCGAATATTACTAGTCGCTTGAAGCGACTACTTTCAGTCGACTAATATTAGTCGCTTGGAGCGACTACTTTCAGTCGACTAATATTGGTCGCTTGAAGCGACTAATTTCAGTCGACTAATATTAGTCGCTTGAAGCGATTACTTTCAGGCGACTAATATTAGTCGCTTGAAGCGACTACTTTAGTCGATTAAATTTAGTCGCTTCAAGCGACACGCTCGAACTATCGAGCTATTGATCGCTATTGACTGGATCTTGATTATTTTCTTCGCGATGCAAACGAATTGTAATTTTTCCATATATTTTTTTATGCATTACCAAGAACTGTGCAAATTATTGCTTATAACCAAATTGATTTTCATACAAAATTTAGAGCAGTTAATTTTTTAAGTGCCAATATTAAATACTTTACAAAAAATCGAATATTGGTAATTGTTTAAAAAAACTTGTTTACCACTTATATTTTTGAAATTTTATCTATTAACTAATACATTTCCAAAGGTAAATACACCAACGGTGCTGAAAAGTTGATGACATAATCTATACATAACCTATAAAGCAAAATTTCAGTCGACTAAAAACTATCGACTAAATAGTCGATAGTATCTTGCGACTAAATAATCATTAGTCGATAGTTTAATTTAGTCGATGGTGCCCATTACTAATCGCAACCAGTACCATAGACAGACCATCATTTACTCAATCACTGAAGTACAACACATATACACGGTGAACATTAAAATTTACTTGTCTCAAAATCGAAGCATTATATACAAAAAAAATTCTATTCTAAATTTTCGTGCAGACGTATTACATTGCCAAAGATGCGAGATTTCATCCCACGACGCGACCACTCGAGAGTTAAACTCGTGTTTTTCTCGCGACGAGAAGAGAATGAGAGAGACATCAATCTCGAAGCGTATTATAATGCCGCACGTTGATCGTCGTAAATAGGAAGAGTTCTAATTACAATATGCATACAGGAACACAGGCCTTTGTAAAACTCCTTTTAGAGAGAGCGCAAAAAAAGGGAACGAGTATATATATATATATAATTGTGTCGCGTTAAACGAGTAAAACGAATTAATCTAAGAGCCGCCACTGTTCAGCAACGTAACTATTAAACCGATCGGAGTCGCTGACGCGTGCGTTGGAAAGAATAGTTCGAGGCTTAGGCCTACTATCCACTAAAGCGTCTCGTCATAGATGCGTCATAGACATCTGACGTTTGCAGATCGCTTCTATGTAGCGAACAATTTAAAATACTGGACTTGTGGCCAATTGTTTTACGTTGGTCGCTACATGGAAGTGTCCTGCAAGCGTCAAATGTCTATGACGAGTTGCCTTAGTGGAAAGTATGCTTCAAACAAGCACGATATCGCGTCAAAACACACACGCACACAGCGCTCTAAAATTAAGCGACTCGGACGTAATTTTCCGGCTCAGGTTCTTTTGACAACGCACGACGCACAGACGGCGGTACATTACCGAGACAATCCTAAATAACGTGTCAATACTACGGAAGATCGTTTTCAAATAAATATATTCTACAAGCTATGTAAGTGATAACACGAACGGGGGGCTGCGGTACATCGATCGGGAGGGGGAAACAGCCGTTTTGCGTGTGCGTCTCGTGAATCGGCTCGACCTGAGTTCTCGTTTTTTAACCGATCGTAACGCGACGAGAGAGGATCATTTTAACGTTGCGAACCGCGCGCGTGTGTCCTGCGTGCGTCCTATGCATGATCTGCCAAAGTTTTTCATTCGAAACGTGCCAATTGTTTTTTGATACACTTTTTTAGATCGTGGTTTTTACTCCGTCGAACGCCATATCAGTGTACAGGTACCTTTTTAAAACGTCGACACGTTCGAACGTTAAAGGAATCGAAGGAGAAGGGACGGGCCTTTTTAATTTCGTGACTTCCAATCGAGGTCTCTCCGGGCCGTGTAAACTTTCTCAGAGAACTGACGAGAAGAGGACATGAAAACGAAATTCGGCTGATTTTAATCTGCGTTCTTCTTAGGGGATCCGAAATGAGCTTGGTGGGACACTCGTGTGAGCGTTTGTAGATAAATACATTGAATTATTTAAAGTTAACAGACCGTGATATACGTATACAATAAGATTTGTAGTAGTGGGCGTGGTCAGTGGACAGAGTGGGTGTGGCCAATGGCCCCAGTAGGCGTGTCGGTGCAGTTATTAGTTTCCAAATTTCTCGTTATTCTTTCTTTCTTTCTACAGTACTATTCGAAACAATTGGAATTGTTGTATTAAACACTGAAACAATAATTGCGGATTGGATAATTATTGCAACGTTTACCGGAAAATGTGCAAAATCAAAGCCAAGTTTCGTGTAGGTGGTAATAGATGACAAATTTTTCAGGTAAAAACAGTTTCTTTTCCGATATTACGCATTCTAGTTTATGCTATATACGCTCGAGTATCTGTTCCCTCCGTGCTCGTTTTTGATTCGCCGAAAGTAGGTGGTATCGATTGAAATCGTTATCCGTGGTCTCCTCTTCCCGTGATTATGGCAGTGTATAATCAGTCTCTCTTCCCTTTGTATCTTGTGTCCTGTTTGCACGGTGTCATGCGCCTCTGTCATGAATCTCGCTTGAGAAAATCCCCACGGCGAGACACCCCCACTGCATCTAACTGTGATTTAAGTACCGAATTCGTTCTGTCGAGAAACGAGACCCGCGCGCGATCGTTTTCGTAGTCTCCTATGTTTTCCGTTGCGATTTTCAGAATTATTTTTACACTTCTGACGAATTCCACGCGATCCTGTTATGCTTAGGTGCAATGGAATTGAATCATTGTTTGGAATTATGACTGAGCTTCTTAGGCGTACTATTACCTCTGTTCTCTAGTGCCTAATTTCTATTGTTCTGCCAGCAATGAGATGTTCGAGGAGCATCGTGTTTTTATTTTTGGGAATGATATTGTGCGAACCGATTTTTCTTTGTTTCTTATTTCAGAAGGATGTCTTCTTTTCTTTACGACACCCCCCCCCCCCCCCGCCCCCCCCCCCCTTTTTGTTAGTCTTCTTGGTACGCAAATCTTGTTTGTTCACTACCCAAACAAACTCTGTCCGCTCTTCTTGTTACTCTATAGTGACGTAGATAGACGAAGGTGGCGAGTAAATGCTCAAGCTGACTATATTGATACATTTAACCCTTTGGGGACGCCATATTCTGTTTAACCCGTTGGGCGCCATTTTGGTTCTCTGGCGAGCTTTGACATTGATAAATCATTCATTTCTTCAATAGATCTGAAGTATAACAAAATTACCTCCACACACCTGGATTATTTTTCTTAATGGTATATTGTTTCAAATAGTAAAAAAAAAAGGACATCGTATCTATCAGAATGGTACTTAAGTGGTAAAGGAATATTTCGAAATTCTATCGCTATATTCGTAAAGAGTATGTATGTTATTTATTTTTATTAAATTGAAGGTTCAAACTTATCAGAATGTCGCTGCCGAATAATAATATGGCTGCCTGGAGGTATCTCGGCCTTCGACCGCAAAGGGTTAATTCACAAAGTGCTTCCTGAGTGCGACTGAAACCGGCCTTAGGCCGCCCCCTTGTGTCTTTTTCGACCAGATCCGCTTATTTTTCTATTCCTCTGTATCTTCGTTGATTTATGTCTCTATTTTAAATTATTTCGCGGGACATGTGAAACGTGTCTGGCCATCGCGACTTCTATCATGCAATCGCTCTACGAGACAACATTGTTGCATAACACTTTCTCAAATGATTTAAAAACCAAAGGAAATAGTATTCCTTCAAGTTTACAAATCCAAGGAGAACAAAGAAAATTCTGTGTACAGTAAGGTCTGGGTCAGTTTAACAAAATTAGCAAAAATCATTTTAACATCGAGGTGATTAAACAAAATGAATGAATTAAAAAAAGATAAATTACTGAATATATAAATTATATAAGTAACAAAATCGAAACCTCCGAGGACTACACAATCTTGAATTAATCATACTGACCTCGATGTTTCAGACGATTAGGCAATGAAAGTGAGTCTGGCATCGAAATCATCACGCGTTAGACCAGACCTTACTATACTCTGACACACTGCCCAAAATAATTAGGGGATCGCTAAC